CTCCTTACTGTCCGTTCTCGATCGGCTTCCTCAGAGCACACTCGCACTTCGGGGTTGCAGCAACAGTGCGGATCGCTCTACCAAGCGATCATTTGCACGCGGGGTGGCAGCGTGGTGTCTTCCGGTTACTTTTTCCAAACATACTCGAATGGCGTAGACGCAAGGCGTGCATACTTATTTAGCCCATTCTTATTGAGCGCGATCTGAAAGGTCGTCGTGAAGCACAATCTGGTGGCGATAATAGTTTCCATTACTGGCGGTAACCTGGAAGCGTGTCATTTTTGCAGTGTTAGATTGGGCAGTTCAGTGCACTTTGACTCACATTTGCGTTTTAAAATGTGTGTGATTACTACATTTCTGAATTGGTGTAGTGTGTTACTTAAAAAGTGGGTGAAACTGATGATTTGGGCACAAGTGCTATTATTGCCGTACGTAAAACATGTTTCGTACACGATTAGCGATGATTCACGCACGCTTTTTCATGTTTCGCACACAATTAGTTAGAATGAAAAGTTGCTGTTTTACACACGGAGAACAACCAAGAGAAAAAATGTTTGCCTCATGCTGAATTAAAATAGTTCACAAAGAAGCTGTTTTATAATGTTACGCTATGTTGTTTAAGTACTTGTTTTGAAAACGAACTATTTCAGGACACATTTTTCAAATTAGAACAAATTTAAAAAAATTGTGAAAAATGAATTTTAAATGAATTTTTTGTGTGACAGCATTATAAATTTATAAGATAAATAACTTTATTATAACGTCACTAGTATTTACATCTGTGCGAAAAGAGTAGTCGGCAGACTTTGTCAACTTCCATTAAGCATCCACTGCGATTGACTGAATGTGTGATGTGGCAATTATTCATGTATAAACAGCACAAACGTGATAATCTCTACCATAAAGTTACATTTTATGATTGCTTTCTTACAACGAAACTGTATTTTATAATGCTGGTACCCAAAAGAGAATTTAGTATTTACTATGCTGTCCGGGTGACGCCGCGTCCATGGCGAAGGTGCCGACGTTTCGGTCGCCATTCTGCGACCTTCCTCAGGGCGTAATGCGTGGCATAAACATTTTTGAAATGTTCTTGGCAATATTCTCATGTAAAACAGGGTGATGAATTTTGGCTCGTTATTCCAGGAAACGTCCTTTATTGACTGATGAGCATATCCAAGGTTTTTGGAAATCACCCACCCCACCTAACAAACGTTCTTCTTCCTGAACGAAAACCTGTTGAACAAAGGGCCGATACAGTACATTCACAAAAACTAATCTACCGTTTTGTAACAAAATCCGACCTCCTATCCGTCTATGCCGAAGTCTGAAATCAATCTCTACATCCGTTGCTTCCAAATTCTAAATTCAATCATTATGTAAATGGTGAGAAAAGGTTACCATCTCTAGTTTTGATATTAATTGAAAATTTGAGTATTTCAGAAAGAATACGACAGCCAATTATGTCACATTATGTCATCCTGTGTGGAACGAGAAAGGTGGAAAGAGAAAGGGGTCAGCAGGGTTGTTCAAAGAAGCAAGGTGTTTTTTATTATAAAAAGTATTATTTTTTATTTCAATATTCAGATCTGAAAATAGTCAAGTTTCTACACAAACCTTTTTAACAATGTATTCTTATTGCGGCGATTTGTTTAACACGCGATTCCGAATATTTCTGCCAACGGCATTGCCCGGGCGGCTGTAATCTTAGAATGTTCTGGAACACTCATTTAAAATTATTTACCCAGCCGAGTTAACTATCCAATGTATGTTATAAATTATTCACTATAAAATTCTTGAATATCATTCAATTCATTTTATTAATTGAACGCAATTTACATAACTTTTAATTTTAATATTACAAGGTAACAAGTTGTATGATTCGTCAATGTTGTCTGGAACATTCATTCAAGATTAATCTCTTCATAAGTTAGCTACGTAATGTATGCAATAAATTCCATAATATAAAATACTTTACGCTTATATAATTTATTTGATTAATTGATTCACAAACTGTCAAGTTTTAATTCTAAAGATTATAATGCAACGCGTATTCCAATTTTTCGAGAGCACGGGGCCCGGGAAATTGTTACGCGACGCCTCCTAACACCCAACTCCTTTTCAATGTTGGGCATGAGTTGTGTGACGCACATACGTGCTGCGCAAGCCCACTCATTTTTTTTACATTGATCATCTCGCAATGTATTTCTGTATGCGGGTGTGTGAAATCTTTATACCTTGTTTTTGTTAGTGCAGTGTAATCAGTGTTATTCAATTGTTTGACTTTGAGCTGATGACGTCCTACGCACATTTGTGTACATACTATTCAACTGAAAACTGTTATATTTTGCATATTCACTGCTCGCACACCCACGCCGACAGGAGTTAATGACAAAAAATGTTACAAAATATAATTTATAAATGAAATAGAAAAGTTTTGTTTTCAATTTTTTGCGTCATGTTATGACGAGAACAAATTTAGAATTTAAAAGCAACTAATGTAGAGATTGATTTCAGACTACGGCATAGATCGGTTTTTTGATACACAAAGAATGAAGTTAGGATTTTCTAAGTGGTTAGTTTACATTTTTTACTCATGCAACAACAAATGGACTAAATGCACGACACATTTGATAATTTGGAAGTAGTTCGAATAGAACGCGCGGATAATATGTATCGCGGTAAAATGGCCACTTGCGACAATACCGCGGTAGACTCTCCTGTCTCGTGATAAACATGTTGACATTCTTGCCTTATGAAGTAAAATATTATTTATTGACACAAATTTGTTTGCTTGTGCAGGTACGGAACGTGTCCTCCAATAGAGGACAAACCGAACTGGTTTGCATTATTAAGCCGTCCACAGGAGCCCGGTCCAGCGTTCATCTTGAATGAATACAGACAAGCGTATTGTCTAAATTCCCCATTGTTATGGGATAAATCTTCAGAGACGTCCTTTGCACATGTAGTGCCTGAATGCCTCTTGACGCCGACGTTCCTTTCATTCATGGCGCGATTGGAAGACGGCCCAAAACAACGTTTGAACGCCATCCTCCTGGCCATTTTGCAAGCAGGCATTGACGCCAAGATCGAAAGGTACTTAACCATAGCGGCTGCTACGCGTTCTACATTTCCTTCTCGCAGGGCTCACACATTACCTTTTGAACGCGCTCCTCCACGCCATTGTTGATCCAAGTATGTAGGCCAAGGTAGGAAAAGAACTCAACCATAACTATTTCTACATTTCCTTCTCACGAGTCTCAGCCATTGCATTTTGAACGCGCTCCTGGACACAATTGTTAGATATACACACCAAGGTTGACAAGAACCATTCTGAGGTTGGAATCCCACCCATAGCGGACGACGCACTACAAACTGCACGAAATTATTTAATACGAATTAATTTATCATTAATTACTAAAATGTTTAAAAATTTCATATTTTTCTCTTATAGCCAAATATATATTCTAACGCTAACTACCGTAGTTGCTGGCGTCAGATCGAATGCTCTAACCGAGCTTTGAAATCTCAAGGGGGCAGGATCTTTTGGGACATGAGAGAGATTTACATCCAGACCTAGAATCAGGTAAAACAGTGCGTATATTCTCCAGAATATGACACACATATCAGCACTGAACAAAATACAAAAAACAAACAAATACCAAATTGCACACAAATATACAACACGAAATCAAGTTGCTGTACACACCCTCTGAAAATGAAATCATTTGCTCACTCTGATTCGAGTATTTCTACCTGATTCATTACTCTTTTTCCAACAATATATTACGTGCACGGTAATTATTGCTTGGCCAGCACCGTTTAAACAACAAAATATTAATTTCCTTGGCTGATAAGTGCAACAAATTATATACCTATTTCTACATAGAATCTTAGATGTTTACACAGAATACATCATTGAATGACCTATTGAATACAATTATTTACAGTTAGTATCCTCGTCTAGGTTACACAAATGAGGAACAAATATGAACAGTTTTTCTCGTAGTATTTAACACTAGAATGAACTGTATTACCGGCGTACTAGGTTCCTTTGCATTTGCTTTGCTTTATATAGATCTTGTGTGAATATGCAAATTTCCAATCACAGCCTTTCTGCTGTGGCACTACCGTTCAAGTCTCTATCGGCTCTCAATCCTTTTACAAAATTTTTGCTACCTTTGTCGGGCACAACGCAGTTTGCAAACCGTTCGGCGTCGCCGTCGTGTGACCTCGCCCCAATTTTGGCCGCACCGTAGCCTCCCTCCCTCGCAGACCAGCCGTCCGCGATGTCGCCCGCAACGCCGTCTTCTCTCTTCTGCCACTAGATCCACTTCCAATCTTCTTTCGTCTTGCCTCTTGGCCACGCCCAGCACCAGAATCCTCGCCTCTTCTTCTTTCTTTGCCGTTCTTCCTACGCGGCACGCTATTTCCAACTCCTTGCGCGTGTTTGCTAACGGCGTATCGGTTTTCTGGCGTTCTTTACAACACTTCTTACTAGTTCAGCTAACTGCACAGTTCTAATGACGCCTCGCAACATCTTATAGTTCTTGCTTTCGAGGCCATTATCCCGCCTCATACTAGCTACTCCACCACTTTCCACAGTATTTACGAAATTATACTTGGCCTAGTTAATCACAGTTCAGAAGGTTGGATCTTCCGCTATTCTACTATTCTTTCGCATGAACAATTACTTTGCACCTTTTTTCTACAAAATTACATCTCCAAATCCTCACTGATCTAGCTCTATACGCACGTCCGAACTCTTCGACGTCTTTCTTCAAAAGGCTGCTCTCTCTAATTACTACCTCTCGGGCTGACCGCACTGGACCTCTCACCTGGGGGTCTCGTACAGAAAAAGAACGATAGGTCAGCTGCTCCGCTATTTACATTCACATGCAGTTAATGCAGCGTTTTGTGCATACATCATTTCTGTAGTTACCCACAGAATCATGTGAATGTCGTGGCGTCGTTATATTTGCTTCATTTGCTATTTTTTTCCAAAGCAACTTGCGGTTGCCGTATTTCTGACCGCTTAATTTTGTATGTTGTCACAGTCACATTTGAATGAAGTGGAATCTTTCTGACTGATTCATTTCTTTTGTTCGCAGTATAGTGTGGTGGAAGTGGAGGTTTTGGGGGAGGGTTCATCGGGGACCAGCACTATCTAAGGCATTTCCCACTGTGCTTCCCGCCCCCCTCTCCGCGCCAAGTCCCCTGACACTCTCTGCGCTGGTGGAACCCGCCGTCGTCCTGGGCGTGGGGACGCTGGCTGCGGCCGTGGCCTTCCTCGTGGAGGTGGCGCTGCGCATGCGAGCCAACGGTCTGCTTCAAGCCTTGTGGAGCGCGACAGCTGTCTGCTGCCGTGCACTGCAAAACAAATGAATTCTAGGGGAAATCATTATAATTTCTCTCTAATTAATTGGCAAACTGATAGTTTAGCAATTGAGCGCATTTTCTTTCCTGCCCTGTTGCCATCCTCTGGCTCAAGACCCTCTGGGCAGCCCATCTGGGGCAGACCCTTCTGGGCAGACCCTTCTGGCGACACCCTCTGGGCACGACCCAATCTGGGCAGACGCTCTTGGGCAGACGCCTATCTGGGCAGGACCCTGCTGGGCAGCGACCGCTCTGGGCAGACCCTACTGGCAGACCCTCTGGGCAGACGCCGTGCTGGGCAGACAGCTCTGGGCAGACGCTCTGGGCAGACGCTCTGGGAAGACGCTCTGGGCAGACGCTCTGGGCAGACGCTCTGGGCAGACGCTCTGGGTCTCTTCTCGCTGGTGGAGCCCGCCGTCGTCCTCGGCGTGGGACGCTGGATGCGGTCGTGGCCTTCCTCGTGGAGGTGGCGCTGCGCATGCGAGCGAACGGCTGCTTCGAGCTGAGAGCGCTGTTGCTATGCCACTGGTGTACTGCAAGCAACAGACTCTGGTGGGGGCGTGACTAAATATGCTTTATACTTTTTAATTTGATTTATCCGGCGGAGTTAACCCTGAGCCAAAATAAGCATTATGTCCACAGCATCTCTAACCGGGCGGTAAAAGGTTTGATCTGTGTTTCGATTAGCTAGCTACTTAGGCAGGACGAATTCAGTCGCTACGTGAAGAAGACTTCTGGCAGCAGACTTCTCTTGTAGAAGCATTTCTGTTAAGCCTGCGATACCAGGCGGATGCCTGGGACCTAATCTTGACCAAAGATCGTTCACTTACGTTCTCAAAGTTCTCTCACGTTATATTTAATCTTGAAAATGTTTAATATGAGAAGAGTGGACAAAAAGCGCAAGATATAGATTTCAAGCGCGGTATCAGTACACTCGACGAGCGTGTATGTGCAACGCGACTCAAGAGAAGGGAGTTACTGCGCTGTGCCGCCATCTACACGTACTACCGCTATTCACAAAACATCGGATACCCAATGCTAGCTTTGGTGGTTGTATTCCCTTCAAATGTGCTTCGCCTACATTAGTATTTCGTTTCGTTGGTTTCTTTGCTGTTTTTCATGATATATAAATATAAATTGAAGGACAAAGTTGCCTCTTGGAAAGTTAAAAAGTCGATGTTTTTGATAAAGCATTCAGTTTGGCCGTCTCCCTCCTCCATGACCTCGCTCAACTGTACAGATTCCACGGCGAAGTATATATTTAATACTCAACTTACGTTCGTATACGTTTTACGAGGTTGAACGTGGTGAAACTGATGTTAACTACTAAAGGAAAAAAATGGTGGCAATATCTTCTATGTACTGTTCCTTTTCTTTTTATTGAAGAAAAATGAAGGTTGATGACAATGCGTGTATATACAATAGTGTTATAAAGAAAAGTTACAAAAAGAAAAACGTCATTCGCAGAACCGAAAATTTGACATTTGCGGAGTAAATATATTCTGTGGAATGTACAATTGAATGAAAGGAAGAGGGTTTGACAATTATCTTGCACTATTTAAATCTGCTATCATTTTACTCTTAGTGTCTACAATGGACGAATATCAAAATCACAAATACCCTGAATATATTAAGCAGTCGCAAAGACAGTCATGCAGTTAGATATTCAAAAATTCTTATCTCAGAGTTTTTTTGTGAAATAGCTCCATTTCTTTCTTTCAGCAAAGTCATTGATAGTTTGGTCGGTCAAGCGGTCGTTTCTGCAATGCTGATTTAGCAGATATTTCTCAATAGCCCGTGTACTGAATTTACTGATTCTGATATGATCCATGGAATCTCTCGGAAATATCTTTACTGCCTTTAAAATATTCATATTACTTTTACATAATTCTGTAGATATAAGAAAGTTAGACTGAATTCTATCAACCGAACCGTCACTTGATGATTTTTTGTAATCAAATTTATCCAACAAATACTTCAGCAACTAATTTGCAGGCATGCGTTTTGGTTTATCAATGTATACATTTGTCAGTTAATTTCGAAGCTGCTCAAAAATGTATTTTGTTTAATTACAAAAGAACTTCTCTGAACGAAACGTTTCTTTGAAGATTTTGGAAAACAGTTTTTCGTCAATAAATTTGAAGAAATAAAATTTACAACATTTTGTAGTCGAAAATGCAATTCGATGTCGTGAACCGTTTAAAAATTAAAAGATTGGCCCATAGTCGGTGGGACATTTTCAATAACACTAAATTCTTAGCCTCATTAATTGCTTTATAAAGAAATCACGAACAAAAATCACGCAAACAACTCAAGTTTCCCACAACGTTAGGTGATGATGTGAATTCGCCTCGCCGGGACCTATACGTGCATCGAAAGAAGTCTAGGCTCTCTGTCCGGTGAGTGCGCGAGAGGAGATAGAACGCATGTGTTCTGTGGGCATGCGCGGCAGCGCCAGCCCTTATCTATCCACTGCCAGGCTCCCCGCTCAGCAAGTGGCCCTGCTGTTACCCCGAAATACCCCACGCAGGTGAAAAAAGGAGTCGAAAACATTCAATTTTCTTTAACGATTCAATTAACCAATATTAACCACATATAACCACAGATTTTGTTAGATAATAATTTATATATTTTACGGCTCCCAGTTTACCCTTCAGCTTCGCGGCAGGTTCAAAGCAGTTATATACAATAGGCTTCTGCAAAATCAACAGATATTTGTGGTTCGAGTAATTTGGTATATGGCACATGAATTTAATTTTTTTACTTTGAAATATACAACGTCACAAACATTTTAGTAGGTGCAATCTGAATGTTTGTTGAGAACACTCAAAAAGTGAAATGTTTTGTAAAATATTTTGAAATTATGTGCTTGCACCATATCGCACTTTTGGAATCATCGACACAAGACTCACTCCAAACTCACAAAGACCAATTCTCCTTTACGGGCAACAAAAGACAATTACAATAGTGCCCTTTAAAGACTCATTTAGAAGTGTCGAATACACAACAGTCACATTTGAGTATTGTTACTCAGCATTATTTTCATAGTGCAGCCACTCGTGTTTACAAATGCCCGATACTGAAAAAAATCCAGAACATATTTACCACCTGTTCTCTATGTGTGTTGGGGTACTGAATCCGAATTTGAGGTTTGTCACCTTGAGAGTTATATTTTCACATAGATATCTTTTCTACACGTCAGCGATTCCTTAAAAGCGTCTAATTGATCATAGAGAAGGTAATGACAAATCACTTTCAGAAACGAAATAGTCATAGTTATGCATTATCACCGTCATATTATTCTGTTGCGATGGTCTCTTTCTTTTTATACTAAAACGTACTTTACGAAACATTAATGAACTTCTGTTATGTAATTCTTTCATAGTTAAAGTATCCTTTCTATTTTTTATTTTGTTTACAACATAGTGCCACTTGGTAGAACATATGGTTGTAAAAAATATTATATAATCATGTTGCATTGTATAGAATGTATTTTCTCTCCTCTTTTCTCTAGTTTCCGTCTCATTTTGGTTAATTAAGATAGAGTACGTAAATACACCACGCGAGTGAACACGTTTCTACCGTGTTAGTGAGTAACAGTGTTAATGATTTAACAACGCAAATACTTCCTACGTCATATTCGTTTTCAAAAATGATACTTAAAATTAAAGCGCGGCAGGGAAATAATGGGTTGATAGAAGCCTTTCTTACCGTTTTCGTCAGAGGGTCGAAATGCCGCCGTTTTTAGTACGCTCTCGTGCCTCAAGTTACAACATTAAAGATAGTATATGTACGCTGCAGAGAGAATTGTCTGCCTTATTTTTGTATTAATGAAGGTTATTGCGATAAATTGCAGAGTACATGTAAGCAAAGGGTTTTTGCAATGGTCCTTGAGAAGCCGTCAGTTCCTGAGGTGAAAAATCTCAAATTCGAGTCCAGCACCCCAAAAAACTTAGTAGAACCGGTAAGATAAAAGTACCGGATTTCTTTCTTGGAGGCACTAGCTAGTTATTGATGTGTATGGCGATTAGACAGTCCGTATTTGCTTTTGAACTTTTTTGTTTCTTGAGGATTTTAATAGAATATGGTAAATAGTTGCAGGTATATTTGCAGAAATCACATTATTCGTCGTTAGTATCTGCTGCTAAGATAATTGTGTATGGCAAGTTCTGAGGCGACTGAAAATAGTTTTTTTATTTCCTATTTTAAGAACAAATAAATGACAACTATATTTCAACCTGTGCAGATAAAGTGAAAGTGATCTAAACTATTCGAAAATCGAAATTTCTTTATTCTGAGGACACGTTCTTTTTTAAAATAAGCGAGGGGTACAGAGTGTTCGAGAGGGAATCATGTAATCACTTCTGTAGACGCATTGTGAGCTAATACTAGGTTTCTAATGCATGCACGATATTTTTATACTTCGTCAAAAGACAATAAAAACTGTATCTGACGTTTGGGGAAAAAGATAACTGCACAAGTTTTCTTGAGTTACAGAATCCCTTCCAAAATTTTAACTATTAATAGTTGAAAGATTAGTAAAAGTTAAAGATAAATAAATAAATAAAAATAAAATTGAAAAAATTACGAGATTAGCGACATTTGAAAAACTAGACATTTTCGTTCCAAAGTTCTAGGAAACTTATTTACAACGGTAAACGAACTGCAGATTTTATTTTCTGCATTGCTAACAGAATAGTAATCCGCCCTTACTTCTACTCCTACTACTATAAGCAAAAAGAGAGTTCAACAAAACTTACGTATAGTGTAGCTATATTTACGTCCAGAAGCAAAAGAAGGGGCCATCTCATTATTTGCTCAATGTTTCAGCAAAACTGGACAAAAACCTGATAGAGATGGGGGTTATTGACTCGGAAACTGAAGTACATTAACTGTTACAAGCATATGGAATCCAATCAATTATTAGGAACTGATTTCTCCCTTTTTACTAGATTGTGGTAGACATATACTATCTCTTGGAATATTAGTTCTTATTTCTTAGTGTTTTTCAATCATTCTATTACAGTTTTTAAGTCTGTGTGAATTATAAATTTATTATTAAGTAATCTTAATATATCTTTTAACGTCCAAAGTATCGCTTTTCAGTAGAATATTGAACAAAAATCGCCAAGTTTGATATGTTGTATGCTGCTATCAATCATTTCACCCTTTCATAGTACAGCACAGAACAGGGCCATTTATTGTTAGTGAACTATATGTGAAGCCCTGTACAACCTTCCTATTTGTTTTACATTTGTTAGTACAGAGCTCGATGTATTTGTAAATGCTTGTCTTTTGTGGAGTGTACTCATTTGTCAGTGTTGCTTTGGTGTCCTTTTGGTGTTGTTTTGGTGTCGTGGAAGGAATCCTGTGACTTTTTCATTAACATATAATACTGTTTAAAAGTAAGAGCAAGGAAAATGTGTTTCTTAATTAGCTATGTCTCTGTTCAGAAAAAAATTGCGGAGCTTTAAGTGCCAGTGAAGCAGATATGTTCTATGTAACA